ATCATCATCATCATCATCATCATCATCATCATCATCATCATCATCATCATCATCATCATCATCATCCATCATCCATCATCCATCATCCATCATCCATCATCACTCATCATCATCATCATCATCACTCATCATCATCACTCATCATCATCATCATTCATCATCATCATCATCATCATCATCATCATCATCATCATCATCACCAGCAGCAGCAGCAGCAGCAGCGGACAGCGGCAGCATCATAGTCATACTCATCCATCATCCGTCATCCATCATCTATCAACATTAATAATCCATAATCCATAATCCATGAATCATCATGATCATCACCACCATCATAACAATAATCATTATCTCTTTCGCAGTTGCCTTTGACGTTTCTTTGTTCTGCGCTGCATTCCAGGTCCACTCTTGGATCGTGGACGCTTGGATGGAGATGGGGGTGGTGAGTTCGGATGGTGAGTTCCAGCTTCTTGTTCCTAGTAGTAAGGCCAGGAGCCCCTAGTACTGTAGCGTCCTTGCTCCTAGTAGTAACCAGTAGCTTCTTGTTCCTAGTAGTAAGGCCAGGAGCCCCTAGTAGCTTCTTGTTCCTGGTAGTTTACCATCCAATTGTTAGGGGTTTCCCTGTATACTCCGGCCGTCCTTGTCGGATGCGTTGCACAGGCAGCCAGCTCCAACCGGACAACTTGATCATCACGAAGACAAAGCTCGGCGACTTGGCATGACTGGCTATGACTTTCCAGGACCAACGCGACAGTTGCGGGATGTGTTGGCCGCTTGACGCCGCTTGACTTATTTCACATTCTTTCACACTTGGTTTGAAAACAAGTTGTTTGCTTGACTTTGGGACGGGGAACACCTCTACCCAGCAGTAGTCAGTAGTGCAGGCATCGATCATGTTGCAGATTCACAGGGGATCAGGATGGAGATTCATTGTGTAAGCTCCAGTTATTCCACCTCTCTCTCGTGGTGCTTTTGCTTCGGATTCGATCACCGTTTGCTACCAAAAGGACGCTATGCTACTAAGTAAGGGCTTCTGGCACGTGGCTGGCGACCACTCAGGTTATCAGACACAGACCTACTTGGAGCACCAGCGCCGCTGCAAGCGCTTGGCTTCTGCGTTGCAACAGCGAGGTGCGTCCGCCGCGCACCGGTCGGTCTCCTCGGTCGGGAGTGAGGCGAAAAGGCGAAGTGGAGTCTCCCAGCAGACACCGGTGGATGCGGAGGGATTTAGGATCTACCCTTTGTCCAACAAACATGGAAGTGGAATATGGCCTCTTGGAAGACTGTTTTGTTTCAGGGACGCGGGGCTGGACGATTTGCATCAGATGGGGTGATTCGGGTCAATGTATACGGAACAATTCCAGTCCCGATGGTCTGGGATAGGTCTATGATGGTCTATGTCTATACATCATCCCTACTAGAGCCTCTAGATTCTGAAGGTTGTGACATGTGCCAGATATCGGTTTGAAGACCTGCACTTGAAGTGCTTAAAGATTGCCCCCCGGAAAGCTTACAGCAACTGTTTGGGGTGCACTGTTGATACTCCTTTTTGAGAGTCGTGCAGATCAGCCAGAGGCATCCAGCTTGAAGATCGAGTTGGAACGCTCCTGTGGAACACTGCATGGCATATGGAGTGCCACTGGGCGTACGACTCTTCGGGAGAACTGACCCCTGAAGTCCTGGGGAGGTGGAAACCTGAAGGCCTCGACCCTGTGACGGATCATGACCAGGGAGAACACGGGAGGGGAACGACCAAAGACCGGTTTTGTGCCGCTGGGAGGTCGACGTTTCCGCACCCCGAGGCATGAGGAAATGATGGTTTCCTCACCACCACCAACTCCAAAGAATCCTTTCAGCAGCTTGCATTGCATCATGCAGGCCAAGAAAACCGCAGAAACGGCCGAACCATGTCTTGGTCGTGCATCAGAGGTGAGACACCCGCCAGAAACCCGCCAGAAACCGCCTGAGAACCTCAAACAGTTCCGCCTTTGTGTGCCAGAGTGGACCCGGCCATGAGCGTGAGAGTGAGGGTAAGAAAAATCCTGTCCCGACTTGAGGCTATCATGCCATCCCTTGCATGGGCGCAGTGCTGCATACCTTGAACCTGCGTTTGGGACCTGCTGCAGCTTGGAGAGACCAACTTAGTAACGCCGTTGTTCTCCCCACTTGACCCGGCCAGGAGCAGGTGGCAGAAAGCCTTTAGCATTCTAACATTCTAACTGTACATCTATAATGTATACTCCATGTAGACCTTTTCAATACTCTTCATTAATAAACCGCCCATGTGAAGAGCAGGGGTTTGAAATCAGGGGTGCACAACATTCTCTCTGGTCATCGCAACATCGCGACCATGTCACGGGCAACGTCGCGACATGGCAAGTAGAAAAGCCATCACATGGCATGCAGTGAGATCGACAAAATTGCTTGGGTACGGAAGTGCATTGGTTGGTGACGGAAGTGTGTAGCCGTGAATTGACTTGAAACATGAATAGATATTATATAATTAATACCCAAGCTTTCATTCCAACGTGCAGGTTTAAACCAGCTGCAGCTTTTGTTCAGATATACAACTTTTTGTTCAGGGTTGATTTCCGGAAAGCTGATTGATTCGTGTGGTTGCCGGTTTTGGCAGACCGAGGTCCACCCAGGTGAAGAGAACTCCCCCAAAATTGCTGGACACACATGATAAGGATTTGGGCTACATCATCCAACATGCCAATGACCGTGCCTTGGGCAAGCTGGAAAGGCCATGGTGGAAGAGTCATTATAGCGGTAAGGCAGACATCCGCGAAGGGGCAGCCGCAGTTTCGGCCACGAAGGCGGCACCACAAAAAGGGTCAGTCAGGTGGTGCTGGATGATTTTATCCATATGTTTCCTATGAATCTGGGGGTCCCAACTTACTTCTCTTTGGCCTAGTTGCGGACTGCTCTGAAGAGGATTCCGACCTCCAGCTTCAGGCGAAAGGAGGCGGAACGGCTGAAAGGGGGCTTGGGAGTCGAAGCAGCTTGTGTTTCGCCTTTTTGTTGAACCGGGGTCACGTAAAAAAACCTGGCGGATCTGGGGTTTCAGGTCGACGATGTGTTTGTCTCTCCCCGGAAGTGAGGACATCCAGAAGATGGAAAAACTTCCCGAGTCCGGACGAACTTGGACTATATCAGGACAGAAATCACTTGACCTAAGTGGAACTTTGTAGATGAATAACAATATGAACTGGGCATGACAGCCTTCTGAATCCTACACATTTTTGGGCATAAACTGGGTTTTGCTTAAGGCGATGTGTTTAAACATCCCCATGGGTAAATCCCCTTCTGGGGAATATGTTCTTATGTTTCCAGGTTGCCGGGACAGCAGAGACAGCAGATCATGTTTGATCACTTCAGCGTTCCACGTCCTTCAGATCGAGGTATGATCATTTGCGATTTCGACCTGCTGAAGCTCTTGGCCCAGGTGGAACCCTCCATGCTGCAAGGAGTGGAGCTCTTGATTTGCCGCTCGGCAGTACCCAGACACCCTCGATGGGACATGGCAGTCAATGGGTGGCACCGGCACCATGGGGTGATGGAGCAATATGCACCACGAGGTCAGGGTGGCATCGATTCTCCAGTCCCATGGATTCGTGGAAGGTTTGGTGTGCTGCACCAACACCCAGTGCTGGGACCAGTCTGTGGTGGATGGACGACGCACCGCACGTAGACACGTCCGACGTTCGACCGCTGGAGACACGCAGCCCAGTGAATCGACCATGGATGGTCAATGCCCATAACTGCCAGTCCGGACTGCCGAGAAATGGCCAGGGGTGGTTTTTGGGGGGTCAATGTAGGGATATTCCAGTCCCATGGTGTCTATGGGATCCGGAGACTGAAAATTCCTCAAGAGTCATGGTGGGTGGCAAGGTCCGAGTCCCTGCCTAAAGCCGATCCGATCCATACAGCTAAAGCTTGGGTGTTTCTTCCGGTGATTCCCACACCAGCTGAGGTGTGGGGGAAGATGGTGTGGCAAACGAATGGGAGCTTCCTACAGGAGCTGACGGTGCTGGATGGAAGTCATGATGTTTGGCGCGCTGGATGTGCACTGCTCATCACCCCCCCAGCCTAGAGATGTAAAAACCAAGCCTAGTAATCCGGGTGTGTGTGTGTGTGTGATACAGTCTACATGATCGAAGGTGAAAGTGTGTGAAAGTGTTTCGACTTTAGAATTTGTTCCACCACCCACCCATAAGTGTCCGTTTCTCGTGCTCCAGTCCACCGGGAGGGGGAAGGACTGTCCTGCTGAGC